GAGTGCCGGGCGGGGAGCTGCCCCTGTGCTGCGGCTGCCATCCTCTGACGGGGGCACTTGGAAACAAACAAGGAGGGTTTCCCCCCCTCAGCTGGGGCTGCCCCCAAAACGCACAGACCCCACACCTCCTCCAGGCTCCCCGGGTCCTTGCCTCCAGCCACCAGGGGTGGGCAGATTCTTCCCGTCCCTTGAAGCAGCAGCTCACACACAGTTTTTCAGGCTCCCCTGGGAGCAGCTGAGTTCTGCCCGGGGCCACAGGCAGCCACACTCAGCCTCTGAGCATTTTATTTCCCTTCTCCTCCTGCTCTGAGCTGATCCCCAGACACTCGCTGCCACCCCCAGGGGTGTTTCACCTGGCAGGGGTGCCTGCCCTTCCCTCGCCTTCCTCAAGAGAAGCCTTTGGTGTTAATTGCTTCAGAAACCAGCAGTCTGGGGAGATGATGAGGTTAGAGGCTCCCCAGGCCTGTAGGCATTGGCATGTGGGTGATTTCAGCCCTGTGAGTGTTCCCAGCAGAGTGAGGCAGCTCGTGTAGGAAACCCTGTGTGTGTGCAGAGATACCAGCCCTGGGAGAGAGGGACCTCCTTGATTCTGGTTATTTGCACTTCCATTTCTTATTGTAATGACCGTGCAGAGAGTGGGGGAAGATCATTCTGACACGACTCCATGTTTCTCTGTGGTTTGGGCTGGGATGTCACGTTGTGGTTGGCTAATCCTGCTGTTCTGTCCTGGGAAGCAAGGAATGATGAAGCCTGACCTTGGTTGTGCTCGGGAGAACCCTCTTCCTCTCTGCTACCTTTTATCTGTCTTCTCTTGTTTCCTTCTAAAGGGGAAGGGGGCAAAAAGTTTTGAGACCTTCTTACAACATCAGAAGGAAGAAGGAAGACAACAAGATACCAGCCCCATTTCTTCCCCTTTGCGAGTTACTCTTAAGGTTAAAGGTAAGATGTGGGATTTTCTGTTTCACTGTGTTGCAAGCCCTGCTCTCAACATGGTGTTGATGTGGAACTGTGCTCTCCAGTTCCTTGACTTTCCTGGGGGTCATTGCTTTCTTCTAAAGGCGGGGGAAGGGGAGAAGAAGCCTGAAGACTGTTAAGCTGCTGTTAAGCTGCACCTGGTGAAGTTTTGTGCACCCCTGGTCTTGCCCACCCCGGAGACCTGCAGCCATTTAGTGACCTCCTTGCACAGCTTCAGGAGATTGACAGGCTGTCCTGCAGCTTCAGGTTTAGTAACACGTTTTGCCAAGTTTGCACAAACCCTGCTTGGCTGCAGGAACGTGCACTGCCCTGCAGCCTTCAGGCATTTTTAAGAAAGCAGGTCCTGCAGCAGCACACGTGCTGCCCTGTGTGCTTGGATTCTGGGATTTCTGGGAGAAGGGGCTATGAGCCTTGGTATTCCCAGCCTGCCTGGAATTGTTTTGCTCTCTGCAGCACTCTGCTTAATCAACACTTCAGATTCCATCCAGCTTGGAAGCTGTTCATGCCACAAGTGCTCTTTAATAAACTGATTTACTTTTTTCTTTTCTTTTTTCTTTCTTTTTGGGTGAGTTTACATCTAATTTTGGCTCGTTCCAAATTTTTACCATATATGGTCAGGGCCCCCTTTTCAAACTTTGCCAAAAATGAAATGTGGTGATTATAGAGAAATGAAGGATGGAAGGGAAACCAGGAGAGCTCACTGGTTAATCCCCATTGTTCCCAAGCTGCCTCTCCCTGTCTGCTGCATCTCTAAGCACGCACACACACACACACACCAGCTGCTTCTGCCAAGGAGTCACTTGTGCCCAGCGGGTGACCTGACATGCTGCTGCTGCTGCTCCTGGTGGATTCTGCTCTTTTCCTTTCACCATCCTGCTATATATATTTTTTGCCACGTGTGAAAAACACCACGTGTGATGAATATCTCTGCTTTAATGTACTTAGGATGCCCTGAGGTCAAACACACGCCAGGCAGCTTCTGAAAAGTCTCTGAGGAGGCTTCAGGTCCCAGTGTCTTCTTCCTGATTCCTGCTCTGCAACAGAGGGATAACAATGTTATTTTCCCTTTTCAAAGTGCGAAGTATTTTAATCCATTATGCAATCAGTTGCCTATTTTTAGCACCTGAACCACTTTTAATGTTGGTTTTACAATGCAAATGTGACAGAACGAGCTGTTTCGAGCGCTCAAGCCACAGGGAGGGGGGACCTGCTGGGGAGTGGCCCAGTGTTCCCTGGTGGGAGGTGGCACAGAAGGACCAGGGAACTGCTGCCAGGTGCTTGTAAATTGAACGGTGAGAGACTCTTCTCTAAAGGTCCCTGTGCTTCCAAGTGCAGGTGAAACGTGTTTTAAGTGCATATGATAGACGAGCTCTGTTAACTGTGGTGGTTTCTCCCCCCGTTTCCAGTAGGGTCGTACACCTGCATCTGGGACAGCCATGGAGAAGAGTGGGAACATTCAGCTGGAGATTCCTGACTTCAGCAACTCTGTCCTGAGCCACCTGAACCAGCTCCGCATGCAGGGTCGCCTGTGTGACATCGTGGTCAACGTGCAGGGCCAGGCTTTCCGTGCTCACAAGGTGGTGCTGGCTGCCAGCTCGCCCTACTTCCGCGACCACATGTCCCTGAACGAGATGAGCACTGTGTCCATCTCTGTCATCAAGAACCCTTCTGTCTTCGAGCAGCTCCTTTCCTTCTGCTACACCGGCAGGATATGCCTGCAGCTGGCTGACATCATCAGCTACCTGACGGCCGCCAGCTTCCTGCAGATGCAGCACATCATAGACAAGTGCACGCAGATCCTGGAGGGGATTCATTTCAAAATCAACGTGGCAGAGGTGGAGGCAGAACTGAGCCAGACCAGGACAAAGCATCAGGAGAGACCACCGGAGTCTCACCGGGTGACACCGAGTCTGACCCGCTCCCTGAGCCCGCACCACAACACCCCCAAGGGGAGTCGCCTGGGCCAGGTGAGCACGGTGCTGGACATCCGGGAGCTCAGCCCACCCGAGGAGTCCACCAGCCCCCAGATCATTGAGCAGAGCTCAGACGTGGAAAGCAGGGAGCCCATCCTACGGATCAACAGGGCGGGACAGTGGTACGTGGAGACCGGGCTGGGAGAGCGCGGGGAGCGGAACGAGGAGGAGATGCGCGTGCTGGGAGGAGTCCGCATTAAAACGGAGAACCTGGAGGAGTGGCTGGGGACAGAGCACCAGCCCTCGGGAGAGGACGGGAGCAGCGCCGAGGAGGTCACTGCTATGGTGATTGACACCACGGGCCACGGACCCATGGGCCAGGAGGCTTATGCTTTAGGGTCCTCTGGGGCCAAAGTGGTCAGGCCAACCAGCAGCGAGATCGACAGGTGAGTTTCCTGTAATTACTGACCTTCTTCCTAAGAGGTGATTGTGCAGGGTTTTCCCTTGGATGGGTTGGTCGCTTTGGAATGTGTCCCCCTTCTATTTCCTGTGGTCACCTTAAGCATGAGCATTGAAGGGGTATTTTTTGTCCTGGTGTTAGGAAGCATGTCCAGTTTGGCTTACAGTATTTTGGCTGGGTGGTGATCAGACCAGGATCTCCAAAAACAGGCTAGCTTGGGAAATGGATTATTAGTGCTCAGAGGTGCATAGGTTGGAATCTCTTACCTCCTGTTATGTAGGTGAGGTGGAGTTCTTCTCTAAAGAGATACTGCAGTTCAGCCTCAGTAGGTATCATGCTCAGCATTGGAATGAACAAGGTCACATACAAAGTGTGTTAGCCAAAGTGTCATTGCAACGGTGCCTTCTGGGTTGAAAACCTGGGGGTGGTTCTGTTGGAGAAACAAGCAGGTCAGCAGCCGTATGTCAGGAGGAAGTTTTCTTCCTGGTGGTCCAGGACAGTGGTGGGACATGGACATCTTCTGAAGCACTTTAAGTGGAGAGCCCATCAGCCTTTGCTGTTGTTTAGATTTATATGAAAAAGCAGAAAAGCCTCTACTGAAAATAGGTGGTGAAATCTGCTGTGTTTGCATTCTCCATCCATCTGCTTCCCCTCCACTCCAGCATTTTTTTCCTTGCCCTTAGCTCAGGCTAGATCTGATAAAGGGCAGAGCTGTTGTGTTTGGGGGCTTGTATTTGGGGGTTTTCTCTCCACATCTGCCTATCTTCTCTTCTAGCTCAGTCCCACTGGTCCCATGGGGGAACAGCTACCTGGCAGCAGTGGATATTCTTTTACTTGTCACTTGTAAATCAACGTGTGGGAATGATCTTGAGCTGGCCACTGGGGGATCGAGCCTTTCCTAGTTCATTAACTCTTTTCCACAGGTCAGCTGGCCTCAAACATCTCCTTTTGCATGGCACTCAATGTCCACTGCTTCCCACCTGGAGTCCCATCACGTGGCTTTTGTTTCATGAGTGGAAGGGGGAGGAGGGTGTGGGTGCAGAATGAGAGGTGCCCTTAGAGGAAGGGCCACTTCTCCTGGTGTGCACCTCCTGAGTCACGGGGCCCATGTCGGTTCACTTGCGACAGCGACCCAGGAGCTCTCTGTTGCTGACTTGGAAGCCAAATGACTCAGTTTTATTTTTCAGATGTTAAGGCTGAAACCACAGACCAGTATGACTTGGTTTTTCCTTTATACTTGCGCTGTCCCGCCTCCCGTGTGTTAGATGGTGAGGATGAAGAGATGCTACCCAGGTGCCTCTGTTGCTCACCCGTTGTTCTCAACACCGCAGCGACCTGATGCCCATTAAAAACTCCGTTTACACTCTTCCCCCACCCCACAGATTTAGCCCTTCTGGCAGCATGGTTGCTGTGACTGAGCGGTACAGATCAAAAAGCGAGTCTCCCGGGCGGATGGATGAGCCCAAGCAGCCCAGTTCCCAGGTAGGCAGATCAAGAAGTTTGCAACTAAATGTTGGCATTGAAGGCGAAGGGGTCTGTGTTGTGGTGAAGTGTGTAGTGTTTTTATTTGCAAGCAACACCGTGTGTGAAACAAGGACCTTTTACTGTTGCAAAGGGTTTAGTTGGTCACACTGAGAACCTGTGCTGTTTGTAGTGATTTAAAACTGATTTTGGATGGCCTTTGGGATTTCAGCCAGTTACCTGCAAAACATGAGGAGTTTCTCTTGCTGCCTGAGGGCATAAATATCAACCCTCATTCTGGGCAGGCCACCCACTCCTGAGGAGAAACCCCGTTTGCCTGCAAAGTTGGATCTGCCCTTAAACACTGTCAGCAAGTGCCTGAGCTAAGGGAGGGATGACAGTGGCTGAACTGTTCCATGCCAATTCCAAAACCATTCCAGTAAGCTCTCCAGGCACTACACCAGTAAACCTTTAGGGTGGAGTGTCACAGGACTGTGGGTTTGCACAGAGGTCTCTGTCTCGTCCCAAAGGGACCGTGTTGCAAAGCAGAATTTGCAATGTAAAGTAGCTCTGAAATTTCTGCTTGCCTGGGGTACAGACATAATTTGGGGGTAGGAGGGTGAGATGTGCAGAAATGCAGGAGGGCAATGGGCTAGAGGGTGCAGCACAGTGGGACACGGAGGTAATACCTGTGACTAATAATTTTTATCTGGTTTTGTTGTTGCACACAGTCAGTATGGCAGTGCCACTAGTGCACGTGCATCACCCAACACCGTAGAACACCTCTTGTGTGCCTGGCAGATAAGTAACATGTCAGTTCATCATCAAATGACTTTGCTGGAGGCAGGTGAGGAGTTAGCAGGCTGCTGTGCCCTTGAGTAAAACCAAGTAAAGTGAGGAGAAAAAAATGACGGTTGCTGGCTGCTAGCTTTGCAATACACTTCCATAAAACAAAGTTACCTTTTTGCTCCTGTTTTGCCAAAGCTTTGTTTTGTGTCCTCAGAATACATTTAGGATATTTCAGGTCAAACTAACCCTCCAGGGTAAATGTGACATACAAAGCAATTTTAGCTCTAGGTACAGAAAAACCATGGTTAGTTCTCCATCATGGCCTCGAAGGTAAAACTGCAGGCTACCATGTACATGGGGAAGTGTCACCAAACCAAATGGTTTGGGTTGGAAGGGACCTTAAAGATCATCCAGTCCCCACCCCCCCTGCACGGGCAGGGACACCTCCCACCAGCCCAGGCTGCTCCAAGCCCCATCCAACCTGCCCTTCAACACTGCCAGGGATGGGGCAGCCACAGCTTCCCTGGGCCAGTGTCTCACCACCCTCATAGTGAAGAATTTCACCTTCCACTCTTCTGGTATTGCCATATCAATGCTAGAAGCAGTCTGTCCATGGTCATTGCCCAGCAGCAGAGCGGCAAGCAAGTACCACAGCTTTATGCATCTCTTTTAGTCCAGAGCAGCTTCCCAGTGCTGGAGTGGGCAGATTCAAGGGCACCTGGCATAGTGAGGCTCCTGCTGGGTTGTGTGGAGCCCTGGCAGCTGGAGGAGAGGCCCTTTTGCTGTCACACTGGTTGCTTGTCCAAATTTGGCACCATCAGGAAACAGCGCAAGACTCGGGAGTGCAAATACTGCATCCTCCATCACGGGGGCACTCGGGAGGCTCTGAGTACCACAGTCAGAAACAGCTCTCCTACAGCCTGAGCTTGTGGCTGAGGGTTTTCTGGCTTTAGAAAATGATGAGGAGCCAGCTAGTCCTTGCTGTGTGGCTCACGCCAGGCGCACTAGCTCTCTGTGCTGCAGGTCCTCCCTGCCGTGCCGCGGGGCTGGGCTGGGCTACACAGCCATTTAGGCCAACGTGATTCATTATAAAGTTAATCCTGAATGACACCTGAATAAATCCCCACGGAAAGTGACACCTGCAGAGTTTCAGGTGGGAAACCTGAAAAAAAACCTGAAAAAACCCCTTTGTTTTGCCGCAAGCTCGTCAGCTGGATTCTTTTTTCTAACCTTTAGAAAGTGGAGCAGAATGTGGCCTACAGGATTTTAATTAAACTGGCTCAGGTTTTGCGAAACAGTGACATGTATTGACATGTTTGACCCACAGCTCCATCGGTGGTTGAGCACCCTCCTGACAAGGGCTGTCTTGTCTTCCCCAATCAAGCGAGTCTCTTGGCAGAAGGGGCCCCCATAGCAGAGGTTTCTAATTGATTGCTCATTTGTCTTCAGCCCCAAGGCTCCAGTTAAGTGCTTAAATGTGTGCTTGAGGTTGAAGACATTAGTGCTGCTGATTTTGAGGTTTGGCACACGCTTCAGTGCTTGACTGCCCGGGCTGGGGCCCGATCTTATTTCCTGCTGGTTATTTAAATCCCTGTTGTTGCCTTGGCAGGGGGAGGAATCAGCCATGCTGGGAGTGAGTGGTTACGTGGAGTATCTCCGGGAGCAGGAGGTTTCCGAGCGCTGGTTCCGGTACAACCCGCGGCTCACGTGTATCTACTGCGCCAAATCCTTCAACCAGAAGGGCAGCCTGGACCGGCACATGCGCCTCCACATGGGAATCACCCCCTTTGTCTGCCGCATGTGTGGGAAGAAGTACACCCGCAAGGATCAGCTGGAGTATCACATCCGCAAGCACACGGGCAACAAGCCCTTTCACTGCCACGTCTGCGGCAAAAGCTTCCCTTTCCAGGCCATCCTCAACCAGCACTTTCGCAAGAACCACCCTGGCTGTTTGCCCCTGGAGGGGCCTCACAGCATCTCCCCCGAGACCACCGTCACGTCTCGGGGGCAGGCGGAGGAAGAGTCTCCTCCGCAGGAGGAGGCGGTCGCCGTGGGGGAGACAGCGCAGGGG